ACGAGTAACTTTGACCCAGTTGGTGTCAACGGAGTGGGCTTGCAACCGCTCCAGCATAAGAAGCTGCCAATGCGACGATACTTATAGCACTATGTATGTGCTTATGTCAGTTTTCAGGCAATTGATACTGGCTTTCTGGGCAAAGTTGGTCAAGTGGTTGTACTAAGTTCTCAGCTGACTTTTAAATGGCATTGGAGGGGGCAACAATGGCTCAGCTGTTGATTTAAAATGTCCATTGGGAATTGTAATCAGGAATTCTAATCGAGAATTGTAATCTGGAACTCACTGCATTTCGAATGACAATATATTAAGAGAATAGCTGAAAAATGCTTAGGCCAGCTTCTAAATATTTCCTCCATTTACATCACAATAAAAAGATTTTAAGCATAATTATAGAATTGGTGTGGACAATGTCTCCTTGACGTTTTTCTTACAGTACAACAACAGTATTTTCATGCTAAGGTCAATACTTACTATGAGCGATGAACATTATTTGTAAGGTATGGATAATTCGTAGTGCCGTTCGTACTAGAAAATGGTTTCCTTGCCGATCACCACATTATGTATCGACTGTTGTGGAAAACGTGATTTTTTTTAAATTTCTTCACCTATTCTGCACACTAAGCGCACCCTTTAGAGGGCGCTTCGATGCAGTTTCAACTTCAATACTCGATTAAATCTTATTGATGGCATTTAGCAATAAGGGTATCCCTGATAGCAGTTTGAGATTCGATTTTGATTAAATAAAATGAAGACAGAAATCGTGTATTTAAGATTTAATTTTGATGAATACCTATTACATATTTGCTGGCGAATTTAAACACATTTTCGAATTTGTATTCATATTTGAAATAAGTACAAAAATTAATTAATCGATTTTTTGCTGCACAAACTAATACGATAATCGATTACTTGGACCGCAGTCTTTCTTTCGTCACTAAGTTTCGAACCTCGTCAATAAGGTTTTTTTTAATTTATATTCTCTTCTATTTTACGCAGCTCTGTTCCTACGGGGCTTGCTTATTTGTCATGGCTACCCATAACAACAGGCAGCGGTTATCAACACTAGCAGTCAGCAGTCGCAGCCGCAGTCGCTGTTTTATGGCAGCCGTGGGTGCGCTTCGTAAATATAAATTTACAAATAATTATTAATAAACAATGCACGTTGGGAACACGAGTTGCAAATGGAAAAAGCAAATAGCGAGAAAAACACAAGTACATACATACTAGTCGGAATAGGAACTCAACGGCAAATAAACAAACAATTAGCAAGAAATGCCAGCGCCCTCTGGCGAGAATTTGTAAAGCGGGTCAGCTTGTCACTATGATTTACGTACTTGCTGCAACTAACAGCAACAATATCTACAAAAACAACAACAACAACAACAATGGCAACGGCAGCGACAAGTTAGCGCTCTGGCGACACCTGCACAATTACACGCCAACACGAACACAGACACACACACACATATACCCATAGATGGCACACACACAGCCACAAAAAGTTGGTTATTATTATATATACATATGTATATACTCGCAGTACTTGTGCATACAAAAGCATATTGTTATTATTTCGCGAATACAACTGCTATGCAAGTCGCTATCGCGCCATTCTCGTCGTCGCCGCATTCTATTGTCAAGTGCAAGCAGGCGTATACGTAATATATTTTTGTGTGCTATGCTGTGCAATGCACAGTGAAAATTACATAAACAACTTTTTAATTATTGTTTGTTTTTTAAATTTCGAATACATTGGAAAAAGATAAACAAAAGAAAAACCTTAAAGAAAAGAGGAGAATAAAATTACTCAATGACTCCCATTCAGTGGAACAATAAAAATTTGTACATAGGGCGCAAAGAAGTTTCAGAAAAAATTAAACTTTGCCGTTTGTTTTTCCCATGAATAAATTAAACGTTTTAATAAAATAGTACTTTTACATTTGAATGGTATTTTTATTCCAATTTCACTGTCTTCTTTAAGCATTTAATACTGTATCGTTACATTTTTCGTCGCATTATACATTCTGATGCTATTGTTGCTGTTGGTTTGTTGCCATTGTTGTAGCAAGAAACGATTCGAGAGCGCTAATTTCAACAAAGTACGCCACAATAGAAATTGAAATTTTTGTACCTACCACTATATTTCACGACCCATAAGCCTAATGAAGAAAATATCGCAACCCAACAGAAAGGTGCGCCACAACAACACCACAAACACACAAACTTGCACTTGCATTCTGCACACCTGCCGTATTCTTTTTGTTTCGTTTTGCCCGAAACGAGTTCAAAGCCATGCAGCATATGAAACAAATGCCTTGGCATTAATAAACACTTAGGCGATGCAATTGTCTGTAAAAGCCTTTCGCCGAGGCTGCCGCCCACACACAAAGACTACAGTTGATGCTGAAAGTATGCAGCCAACGCGAGTGTGGGCGGCCTTTCTCGCCCAACTCGCTCTCAAGTTACAGCCTACCGATATTTTCTTCTTCTTTTTTATTTAGCGTCTCATATTCACGAAGTCACCGCAAATTGCAAAACTCTGTGCCCGTTCACTTAGCGTTGCAACGCCAAGTGGCACGGCGCACTCGACTCGCTGTTTGCCATTTGTGGGTCATATGTACTATAAAAGCAAAAAGCAGACAGCCTGCAAAACTGCATAATCAACACTAACAACAGAAAGAAAACCAACATTTAGCAACGAGCCAATTTTGGCAATATGTGCAGGCCGAGTTAACGCTTTTCGGTCAATGGACGGTAATGCAATACCCTCACTCACCCTCATTTCGGGAGCGGAAGTAGGAAGCCGCATTAAACGACAACATCGTCGACAATATTTCATTTACTCAACATATGAATGACAATAATGCCAACCAGCGAATACTGCAAACGGACCAACTGCATTTGATATATGAGTACAAGCGAGGACCGCTCAATAGGTGCTTATAATGGTCAATAAAAGTACATATACTTGTAACAGAAAAGATACTTGTAGAACTCTAATCAAATACGTTCCCTAGACGCCAGTAAAGCAACGCTCAAGGTTATAATATTTCGTCCGTGTTCAGTGGATTTCCAGGACATAATTGTGAAGTGTTCAATGAGTTGGACGAATTAAGTACTCTATGAATAAAAATAGCTACGGAAATGGATCTCGAGCGACGGATACCCATTTTACGTAAGTAAAAATATGGGCCAGCTTGATACTGAATGAATGCACCTCGTACAAATTTATAAAAAGCATAACTACTTAATATAAATACATATACTTGTATACAGATATGGATGTACGTAAATAGTGTATGTGCGTGCGTGTCGCTTTGCTCATGCACTTGACTCCAATTACTGTTTACTGTTTACGGATTTGTGCTCGCTTAAGCAGAAAATTCGTGTGTGTGAGTGAGTATCTGTTTATACATAAGTACTATATGTATGTATTTATATCATCTGTATGTTGGTCCGTTTACACGTACATATGTACAAGTATATGCCAGTTTGTACGCCTGCGCGTGCAATTTTTGCATTGAACAGGAGCAGTCGAACAAAAAACTCGTATTGTTGTTGCTCAGCAGAAGTTGAAAAGTTTTCCGCATTCAAATTTATTCGATTAAAAAGTAACAAATTAAATTGACAACTATAAATCAGACAGGAGATAAGGGAAATAAACCAACAAAAAAATATATTCAATCAAGATAAGCTAGTTATTCCAACGATTTCATATATATCATGCTTTAAAAAGAAATCCGGCTGGCACTATCAAACAAAAGGGCGTTCAACAGTCTGGCCACAACGGTTTACATAGATATTAAGGAATATGAACATCCGTAATGCGTAAGTAATCCTATGGAAACCACGCCACTGCCATAGACAACAAGAACACACAGGTCTGCTCCCATTTTTGCATTGATAAAATATGTATATCTTCAATCAGCACCTGAGCTTTCGAGTTTAGTTCATATCTTTACAGAAATAGTACTACGAGTAAGTGGAATGTTTTAATTATAAAAAGTAATATTTATTTGATATTTTTGGCAACATTTCTATTTTTCTTAACGTTTGAGTTTAGTTATAAAAGCATTCACAAATTGTACTTTTGAGTTTACCAAAAGGAATCAGATCTGGCATTTGCTTTATGGAGTTACGATCGGAAATGCCACAGTTTCCTTGCCAGCAGATTTTCAACTTAAATGCATGGTTTGTCAGCATATGAAGGTGTGTTTACTTTACTTCTTAATTATCAATAGTGATTGGGGCATGAAACATTATGAAACAGAAATTTGAAATTGACATTGTGAATATCTAAAGTAGAAACCAGGACATACGGTTTCTTGGGCTTACTAGAGAAAGTATGGACAGATTGTTTAATCGACTCGTTTTATCAGTTAAGTTGTGTGTATGTAGTCAAGTTTTTTCTCTTTGTTTAAATATTGTTTACACAACTGCAAGCTAGACAATAATAGTAGACAACAACGCCCTGGTACGAGCGAAGTAATAATCGCATGGCGTTCTTCTATTTCAGAATTTATAGCTAAAACTATGATGAAGTGCTGAACTTTGCGACAAATTTCTACCTAGAGAGAAACAAGTCAGCTGCACGCATTGCACATTAGTGAGCAACGTACACCCACTCAGACTGGGCGTCGTCGCATGTTTAGCGAGAGATTAAATGGATTACGAATGCATTTGCTTTATCTCAAAATTGTAGTGGCAAATGCCTGTCCAAACGCCTCACTTAATTTGTATATCAAGAACAGTGCCTTGTCATTCATTCATTCAGTAATTTGCCGTCTCCCCCCCTCCCCTGAGCTCTCATGTCAGTGTCAGCATCAACGTCACTCAGTGGATACGAACATCTGCCATGCACTCATTTAGTCATTCATACGAGTTTGCATGAGAATGTTCTGTTTTACGTGGTAGCTGGCACTTGTTGAATGTTTCGTGAGACACGTGCATAAACAAAGCTGCTCGATAGTTGTTTGAAGTGTTGTTTATCGACTTACCATTGCGTGAAACGTCGAGCTCCACTAGATTCTCAAAATTTTGTATATCCGGCGGCAGGCGTCCAATTTCATTGTCACTCAGGCCAAGCTTTCTCAGGCGGTGCAATCTGAAGAAGTTCTGCAATGGCAATAGAGAAGAGCAAGGAGTCACATTTAGTTTAAATCAAATCACGACAATAAGAAAATTAAGAAGCCTTTCTCTCAAACCAAAGACAGTCGATGTCTGAGACTGAGGCTGAGCCTAAGTCTGAGCCTGAGCCTGTCGTCTCGTTCGTGGTCATAAATTGCAAATACGTTCTTGTCTTTTTCTTTGTGTCAACTGACAGGCCTAGACAGTAGACAGTAACTACAACAAAACAGCGTGACCCGCTTCAGCTTGGCCACAAGAAACATCGGCTGTGTCTCTGATTTTTGCATTAGAACTTGCTTTCTCCTCACTTTCCTTCTTCCTTCCAGGAAATCGTATTTGCGACATGTCGCCAACAATTCATTTATGAAACTCACGATTTTCATAGCCGTATACTTTTTTCGGTGCCTGAGAGTGAGAGAGTGTGGAACGCGGCTCAATTCGATTCGTTTTAAAGACAGTTGAAATAAATTATTTTGCGCTTTTGGAACTTTCTAAAGTGAAGGGGCCGCAACACCATTGTCGCCATCCCCATCATCGTCGTGCTCGGTTTTCGTATCTGGCTGCCATCGCATCCATCTATAAACATTTAGCTGACCTTCCTGTGGGCACAAATTGCTTATTGTTTGGCCGTTGTGTTTTAATACCAAGTACCTACTCTCGGCCTATCCGCTGTCCTACTCGCCCTCTATAAAGAAAGCTGGAGAGAAGCGCCAGAGTTGATTCACTGAGTCATAGACCTCAAGGTTAACAGCCCCAGCGGGCGATGGGGATGGCGGGGCAGGCATCGGTGCTGCCGTTTTATTTTAATGCTTTGTTATGCGCGATTTTATCGGCCATTGTTGGCGGGCAGAACCACGTTCTTTCATCCACTCACACTCACACACACACACACACACACACACACACACACACACACATCATGGCCAACAATCACAAAAAAAGGTAATAATAATAATGAAAATAATTCGCTGTAGTTATACTCGTAAAGTTTATTAAGATTTTTTTCTTTGCTTGCCAAATCGCAACTGAACTGCCAATTGGAATGGGACAAAGTGTCAGAATGGCTGACTGGTTGACTGATTGACAGACTGCCGTGGCTCGTTAACTGATCTCTTGACCCACTTTATTCAGCCGCCAGTCAGCCAAAAAAAACAAATTTTATTTAGCAAAAAATTCAACACCTTTGCGGAAATTTACGTTCAGTTTACAGCTTGCCACACTATATACAATTTTTTCGCGAAATGTGTTAAAAATAATATAACATTAGACTGCATTTATAGTCTGTAGTTTTTGAAAAAATTTTCCTTTCTTTATTTATATTTTAATGAGGTTATATTGTATTGGGCAAACAGTGGATTCAAATAATCCAACTAATACATATTTAAAAACTTTCTGTTATAATTTATCACATCTTCTTTGCTTTACTTATTTTTGTATTATTTTATTAGGCTAGTTTCCTACTATATCTGTATTGATAATTTAAACTGGCTGTACATGCAGAAAAACAAAGAAATTATGAATGTATGTCAATTATGAAATCTGTTTTAAAACCTTAGAAGATTTGTCTTTACGCGTTTATTCATTTAACACATATTGCCGAGAATTTTTTGAGTTTTGATAAAGTCATCGGCCTTTTTAACATAAAAAGACAAAGTGAAATCACTGTTTTCAAGGTGCTCGGTGCTAGAAACGATTGCCACAATTATTATTTTAGTTGAATGACTGCAGCAGGGAAAATAGTGGATACAAGGAGCTGCCACGACCTTAACGTGTTCTACTCGTTTTACCTCAACTTGCGAAGCAATCAAAAGCAATTTTAAAAAAAAGACAACACAACCAATCGTTCGATTCGATTTAGCGACTTTGTTTTAAATGTCAATTGTAGCTTGCATCACAACAAAGTTCAGATCAGAGCACAACAATCAAACATTTGTGTCAATGCCCATGTCGAAAGCGAAAACAAACCTAACAAAAAGACATTTCACGATGGAAAACCCTTTTGCAGCTCCAATTTCCCATTTCCCTTTGTGCTGCTTTGAACACTGTCATGCCCTCTTTATGGCCACCCACAAAGTGCCACAGTTGCTGCTTCCATTTTTACGCCTTTGCTATTTTTAAAAACGAAAGGCATTGCAACAAATCATGCGTCAGAAAGTTGTAACTGTCAACGGCAACAAAGGCAACAAAAGTGCAGGAAGACGGAAGAAAAACACAGAAAGGCGGCCGGCTATGGTAATGGTTGGGTGGTGGTGCTGTGGTGTAGCAGTGGTGCAATGGCCGGATATAATGCTAAAAAGAAGCAAAATGCAAAAGAGGACAACTGAAAAAAAGACACGAAACGAAACGAATGCAATGTGTAAACTTTTTTGCCAAGTGCTGCATAAAGAGGCTGCCTGAGTGACTGGTTGAATGACGGATAGACTGCCGGTACGACCGGCCCACAGCCGAGAGCCAAGAGCCAACAACCCACGGCCCACGCGCGTTCCACCCAGCCCATTCTCTATCTCTCTCCCGGTCTTTCTATTCCACTATCTCTTTTGCTTGAATGTAAATTACCGGCGGGCTGGCCGGCCGGCCGGCCGGCAAAACTAACGCGCGTACTACACAACACACAACCTAATGATGCCGTACTACCAGTTCAACTCGACCACACTCACTCACACACACACACACACACACACACTCACACACTCACACATTCGCATTCTCGTGTCCAACACTCACACTGGGGCCCGTGCTATTCGCCCAGTCAGCACACTTTTACTATTGTATCTAGTTTAAGCAGGCGCGCAGCAACTTGCTGGCAGCAACGACGCCAACGAGAGCAACAACCACAGCTACAGCCACAGCAGCAACAACAACAACAACAACATGCTCGTAGATAGCGGCCACAACTAGCAGCGAGAAATTGCTTTTAGCCAACATGTGCGGGCCAGTAACGAGTTGGCGAATTGCATCACAGTAGTTCGTAGCGCATCCAAGCTCCCAGCCAGCTATTGAATGCACTCGCACATCCACACGAGTGGAGGCAGTAGTCGGTGGACAGGTATGTAAATATGTATGTGTGTTCGAGTATGTTTGTAGCCTAGAGACGCTCCCAACATCACGCACACACTACACTGAGGAAACTTTCAACTGTGCGAGAGCTGCCATTTATATTTCGAAAACATTCGAAAACAAACATTCCCCATTAAGATCAACACAATTGGCATTCGCTTGAACTAATTTCTGAAGCATTACAAGTATTACTACTCTATATGTCACTACTATATGTTAGGAAGTAAATAAAATGAAGTAATTGGGTGCTAAGGCAAGGCTGTAAGGGAGATGGCCCTTTAGTTCAATCAATTATCACCTTGTCGAATCTCCGATAACTACTATAAGACACCCATATACTGGTTCGATTCAGGCTCATCGAACTTTCATGCTAGTCCTTGAAATACCTAACGATGCCAAGATAAGTCACACATCATGCATTATTAAATTAATCCCCCTCATAAAAATTAAAGAAAAATCGCACGAAAATGTTCAAAATGTTCAAGAAAACAAAGAATTTTCATACTTGTATGACTTTTTTTTTCAGTATTTTACCTTCAAAGCCCTAGAATTGCTAATTCTCAACAAATAATCGGTCGAAGAGAGGGCGCACGCAAGTGGTAGACATAAAACGCAAAATGTTTTTCCAAAATATGAGTTGGCTAACAAAATCAAAGAAAGAAATATTTTTAAAGCAGCCTTCTTTCCACTGAAGATTTGACAAAAAAAAAGCAAAACATTAGTTACTATGAAGTCTAAAAAGTATTTCAAAGTTTGCAACATAATAATTTTTCAATTTATTGGTGGTTTCTCTAAATACCCTATGGACATTTTTTCAGTGTACTACACAGCATGTGGAGAGAGAGAGAGAGAGAGAGAGAAGGAAGAGCAAGACAGACGCATAGATACTCGTACATAGTTGCATCTGCATGCTTCTGCAGCAACCGAGGCTGGCTGAGTAGCTGGCTTGGAGCCAGACGTCGGACTCATGGCTTTACGGTTGGGTTGGGTGTGGATGGATTCGGGTAACAAGACTGAGCATGTGGCGAGCGAATGGATGCACAGATGCAGAATATGAACTGATGCGGTTACTGCTTACTGCTACTGGGCTGGTCAGCCAGCAGTCTATGCTGTGTACTTAGGTGGGGTAATTAATTGAATTATTTGGCGTGCAGGGATCAAAGGAAAACGTAAAGTGCATGCCTTAAACGCATTTGCATACACAACATAATAAATCCAATTTGCTTGTTAAAAGTCAAGTTGAAATAACTAAATTCTTTAAACAATGCCAACACAGAAACACACACGCACACTACTCTAGTTGCTCGTACAAGTATGTGTAGATACATAGCTGCAGATACATTTGACTACGAACTGGTGCTGTGTGCCTCTCTCACTGAACCGTGACATGACAATACACACATATGTAGTACATACAGACAGACAGACATAGACACAATCGTACATATACATAATGCTTATTAATACACATGTATGTTGTTCGCTTCGTTGATTTCAGCAAAGCTGTTCTTTTTTCTTGCTAAATGTATCTGAAATTGTAATCAGTGGCGAATCTGTTCGAATATATCTCGTCGTGGTGTCTCACACACGCATGCTTGTGTGTGCATGTTGCAAATGACTGGGCGCTCAGCGAATTGTGGCCAACGACAGTGACAGACGGAACGGCTGAAAACAAGTTCTAGATACTTTAATGTGTGCGTTTGTTTGGTCGCAATGTTTGTGTTGTTGTTGTTCCTGTTCTTGCTGTATCTTGTTGGTCGCATCAGAATCGTTCAGCGAAACCAGCTGAGCTAGAAGAGACAGACAACAGACAGACAGTTAAACCGTCAGCGACAAACACAAACACACATGCAGCAAAAGCGTCTAGTTGTGCTTGTTATTGTTGTTGCAGTGGTTGGGGGTAACAACTACACTTGAAAGGCTGCGTCGCTTAGCATTTCACGCCATAAAAGTTGCAGAAGATACAAATGGCAAATGGCAGGCAGTCAGACAGTCGGCCAGTCAGATGCCGGCTTGTGTCGGCAGTTGCAGTTTCATTTTCACATGCAGCGCAACAACAACACTTCCATGACAACAAACATTCAACCAAGCTGGCGTATTTCGGAACTGTGGACCAAGTGTGGTTGCTTCCCATCTCTGGGCGCCTGTTCAAATCTGTACATCTTCATTTTTCTACCAACGCACGCACCCGTATGCTCGACTCGCACACAAACAACGACCGAACGCATTGTTGCAGCTGCTGCTGCTGTGCCACAAGTTGCAGACACAGCGCCTGGCAACAAAAGAAGCTGACTTCGAAGCTGAGGCAGCAGTAACTCCAACTGTGTTTCTAACAATTCAGCTTTTGAGCGATGCATCCGATCGTTCCGTCTAAACAACGGCAAATGGCAACTGATTAATTATTGTAAACGAAGGGGGGAAGGAAATTCAATGAAAGATGTTGAGCAATTACAGCAATGCAATTATTAACAATGTAGGGGGGTGGGGAGCATTGCTCAGATTGAGAATTGTTACAGCCCAAGAACAGACATTGGTTTATCGACAGCAAGAATATTTGATGAGAGGACCAACTATTTGGCAGTAATGTTATAAGCATGGCCCTCTTTTACACCCCAACACAACTGATTAAAGTCCTAGCCAAATTATTAGCACTAACTAAAGTTGTTGGCCTTGTTTTGGTTATTTAGATTACTTATATTTTTTCGTTCCTCCAGCAATTACTTCTGAGAAAATTCCATTAAATCTATTTTCCGCCGATTTCTTCCAGCCTGATCATAGATTTTGCTCGATTACTGCCATCGCCATGTCCACCATTGTTGTTTGATTTATTTATTTTAAAACTGCATGTAAATGAAACTAAAATGGCGATCATATAAAAGTAGTACTTTAAAATATATTGTTGGCGGCTCATCAAACGTAATTGATTTGTTGAAACGGGTAAACTATTTGAATCGGAAAGATAACGAGAATCGTAACTTAAGGCTTTAGACAAAGTTGCATAAGCAATTATGGACCCCTATTTCTCTCTCAGATTCGTCAGAAGAAGCTCGTAGGATAATGCAGAAGCTCCTGAATAGTGAAAGGACTTTAAGTTGGAAGACGAGAGAGCCTCTTCTAAGCCAGTTGTGGGCATTACAAGTGTGAGGGAAATGGGTCTCGGAGGGGAACATTAGCCCGGAATGAGTCGCAGTTCTAGGCACCGCTAACGATAATAAGCAATTATTTACCCAGTAGAACAAATGTATTGACTAAGTTGGAATGTATTGACTATTTTCTTACTTAAGTAGTAGGCATATTTATTAGATTTTTTGGTTTTTTTTTTGCTCAATTTAAATGTAAGCACAAAAAACCGAACAGATGTATATTTACAAAATTACAAATGAATTATGGAATTTATGCAGTTCGTCTGGGACGCATTGTCGGCAATAGGATTATGGGTTCTGGCAGCAGCATTCCAAATGGCCATCAATTTCTGTGCTCAAATAGTTTTTATGTCCCGAAGTTCGAGATGAAACGAAACCAAAACAAAGCCAAACCAAACAAAACATAACAGAACAGATTAGTGCCTGTTGCTTGACTCTCCGAAACTTTTCCGCAGCCAGTGCCAATGAATTATAAAAACTTGACGTCAGTGTCTCGGTTTGTGTTAAAAGCCGCTAGAAAAACTAATTGAAATAGCTGGAAGAACGTTTGTTATAGACGACAGCAAACCGGTTTTCAGCAGCTGCGTATAATTTATATGAGCAGGGAAAGAGATGGCGGAGGGAGACAAATTGCACCAAGTAGAATACATTTGAACGTATACAAGTATTTAGTAAGGTATGTATAGTAAGTGTCTTCGCAAGGCATCAGATAAAATTGTATTTATAGTGCGCACTGGCTTTCTGGCTATCTTTATTTCGAACCAGCCTTATGTTCGAGGCCCCCGAATTAGGAGAACTAACGAAATAACTAACGAAAATTCGTAGTTATGAAAGGTAAACTGGCGACTCGTCGCCGTATTAAATACTTAGCAGTTGTTTTCTGTTTTCTATAAGCTTAGCTGCCATTGCTTGCTATAAATGATGTCATTGCCAGTTGGCCGTGTTCAATAAAACAAACCACAACAGAACGCAAAACCCCAAAAGCACCTGCAATGCAGACACTGCAAGAAAACATAATATTTGTATTTATAAATAATTCCAAGTCTGCCGAAAAATTTTGCTAGTTCTTTTCAAGTTAATACATCGGTACTTAATAATTAATTAATAACTTAATTGAAAGCCGTTGAAATGGCATTTTGAACGTGTTGTTTAAATTCGAATAAAAAGCATTTGAAAACCATTTTGAAATCTATTTGTGTTACGTTTTTTAACAGCAGCAGAAGAAGCACTCTCCACACTTGTATTATATGCCAGAAAATATTAGTTATTGATCGCTGCTTTCTCAATACTTTCTTGCAGTGTAGCAGCGTGTTCCAATTGCGAAAGCCAAGCAGCCAAAGTGGCAGGCAGGCCGGTCGAGCCCAGAAGGCAGCAACGACGTTAACTTTGGCGATAAGGTGATTACGACAAGTTATCTTATCTGCGGGCGTGACTAATTGCCGCAAATGAAAGGCATGGATGCCTGACTGGTCGAAGCAACAAATTTCTAGCCTGCTGCTACTTTAAGTACCACAGGCATGGCAGGGAAATATTTAAAGAAAAAAACCAAAAACAATGAAAAAAAAACAAGAAATAAAAATGTGCAGACATTCGCTTGAGGTAGGTTCGACTCTGTTCTGTTCTGTTTTTTTCTTTACTTCAAGCTCAACTAATTGCATAATGCAAATACATGCCAGTAATAGGTACAAGAACAACAACGACAATGCACAATAGACAGCCAAAGGCAGTCCAAATGAGCAAACGCTCCGGCGCAGCTGTGTTGACAGGCGGCGGACATGAATAGCACACGAGATTGAGGCAGATTGTTGTTGAATTAAGAGCTTCAATTGAAGTACGATCTGTGGATGTCTGACTCTCTTTTTATAGTTGCTGTTCTACTGTTGCTACTTGAGCTGCTGATGTCGCTGACAGCACGGAAATTGTGCAGCTTTCATTTTGCAAAAAGGGTTACCAAGCGTCAGCAGCAGCAGCAACAACAACTGCAACAGACCACAACAATAACAATCAAACACATCCGATGTTGTCGGTTGCTTAGAATTAAAATGAACTCAATTGTGAAGCAACAGCAACAGCAACGACTAACAACAGGGCAAGAACATCATTATGACTGTCATTCTTTCGATGTTGTTGTTGTTGCTGTTACTGCGGTCATGTATTTTGCTTGGACAACAAGCCGCCGCTCCAGCAACAACAGCAACATGTAGTTGCTGCGGTCGCAACAGCAACCAGCAACAAGCAACATGTGCCTACCGCTCCAGTAAAAGTTGATGCTGCTGCTGCTGCTGCTGTCGTCTCAGGTTTATTGATATAAAATGCCAGCACAAATTTGCATTAGAAGTTCATTAGTGAGTGTGCACGGAAAACCGCAGCACTGACAACAACAACTGCGGAAACTAGAGGGGGCCAGCAACTAATGAAACACGAATGTCGAAGACGACAACTACAGAGAAGCGTCTCTACAACACGCAGCAAATTTCAGGCAATATCATTTTGTAATCAGAACTACTCGGCATATCATTCCGATTTGAGTTTAAATAAGTTCGGATTTTGCAAAACTATAATATATTTACGCATCGGAAAAGTGTCAAAATTTAAAACACAGATTGGATTGATATTGAAATGGGTTGGTCTTGTCTTGCTTTGTAATTCCTTGATTACCAAATATTGGAAAATTAATACCCTTTTAAAGTATAAGCTGAAAATAAAGGTCTCATTTATATTGTCTATTGTAAATTAAAATAAATCGAACCATATTAGATGGGAATAGGTAGACGCTACCAGTAATAGCTAATAGCTACTACTAATATAAAACTATATAATGAAAACTCTCTTGGCCGAACACTCACGATCGGCCAATTTTTGTCCGCCCAAGGGGAGTGTCCGCTTAAGGGGATACTTAAATACTTTATACACCGATCGAATGTTTAGAAAAAGTGTCCGGATAAAAGAGGTGCCCATTAAGGGAGTTTTCACTGTATTCAATAATATTTAAAAGTTAGTAGTAATTGGATCAGTCACATCTTCTTTCCTAGCTCCATTTCTTCATACTCATGTGGAATTGGAAATCCTATTTTTCTGTTTTAGGCAATGTTGACTGCTAAACAACAACAACAACAGCAGAAGCAGTTGCAGCAGCGTGGAAAGCTGAAGAAAGCCTGGCTGGTTGACCGCAAATGAATTGCAGGCCAAATGCAAAAATGGGCCAAGATGTGCACACGATGTGACATTTGAGCGGTCGAATTAGAGTGATGGAAAGTCGAGTCTCCGCATAGTTGGATCGAGATACAAGCATTCCCAACTGAGTTTGGGGACAGGTGTGGGGGGGGGGGGGGGGGGGGGGGAATCGATGCCACCATCACCACCATAATCACCGAGCACCACTTGTTGCTATAGCAACGACTGTGTCCAACCCACGTAATTCTGTTTATGTCGGCAACTTGTTTATCTGTCTGTACATACATACATACATACAGATACATATGCATGTGCGTGGGTGTTTGTAACTGTAGCCGAGGGCATTATACGTTTCTGTATCGGCTGTTGGGAAATGTGAAGGGGTGGGGTGTGGTGGGAGAAGGAGCGACTTCTATAAACAAGTAGCGCTTTGTGTTCGAACATAAACAAACTTTAGACAAAAACAAAAAGGAGCACAAATGTCAAGCAAATAGTTCAACTTCTTTTTCAACTATAAAGTGGAAAAGTATGTAGTCCTATAAAAAGGCAACCCGGCGTCGATGTCGCAGCTTAAAGCGTTGCTAGTTGTCAATACGAACTTGTATCCTCATATGTAACTGTAGTTGTAGATAGTCTTCGTGCTATTTATTATTCATTCGATTAAAGCACGAGACTCTCAGAAGCGACCACAAAGGGCTATTATCAATGACATAATATGTATCTGTAAGATTCAATTATGCTCGGCATGGCTTGGCCTATTAAATAAGAGTGTATCTGCGTGTGTGTGTATGCACTTTACAAGAAGCAGAACAACAGCAAGCCATTGTTGTCAGAGCCGTGAGCTCAGGGAAGAACAATTTTCTACGTACCATCATGTAGTCGCTCAGTATTAATTAAAGACTTCCGCCCGACTTTGCGATGGCTCCGACAACATCGCCTCGTCTTTTGTTGTAATTATTGCCTTGGTAATGACGATGATGCGCTCAGATAGCAGCCCAGATAGCAAAGTTGGCAGAAAACAGGCGGTATTGGAGAGGAGCAGAATAGCTCGGGCAAGAGGAGCAGCGTCGCTAAGTTTTAATGCAAATGACGCTGTCGCTGTCGCCGTCGCTGCCCAACTACCCAGCTCTCTAAACGAATTCAGAGAGAGAATGAAATAGACAGGACTGAGCCTAGAGGGTAAGCAGCGGAGCGCGTTAACAAATGACAATGGCAGGCAGAAGCAGAAGCAGAATCAGGAGCTGTGACAGCAACTCAGCCCAATACGAGGGCGAGCAGAGAAGGGGAGAAGGGAGGAATTGGCTAAGCCATTAGCACTTCGCATTCAAATCATCTCGGAATGCGAATAAAACAGCTGTTAGAAGTGTAGAGAGAAATGCCATCGAATAATTGGAATCTATACGAGTACACACATAAATACATACATACATACAACTACATACCCGTACATAGGTACAGTAGAAAGTGCTTCAGTGGAACTCAAACAAAAACAGTATAAATAAATAAAAGTGACGTAAATGCCAACTCATTGGAATAAATTATCAGGAAATTCCAAAACGTAGATTAGATAATGGGCGAAGAAAAAGTGGGCTTAAGAGAAATTTACATTTTATTCAGCATAGTTTTTTTTTGTAAAAGCTGTTAATAAATGCGCAGATTTGAAAACATTTGCATATGCACATGCAATCGAACTGAGGCTCGATTCAATTCAATTGTTGAGATTTAAATGACAATGACTAATAACGATGCTTTTTATTCAATTAAGCGTTGAAATATATTCTACCCAGTGGAGATTCATTAAGAACATAATATTCATTAAACTGTTAATCTAATTTTTCGATTTATTTTGGAGTTAAAGTTGGATCATTGAGAACTTTTAATAAATTCTTAACTACAAAAGGGGAACAATATAGGGATTAGACAGTTTCTTAAAATATCTGGTGTACGCGACTTTTTTTTACTAACCTTTGGCAAATCGCGTATGTGATTTGCATCTAGAAAGAGTTCCTCGAGTGTGCGGGAATAGCGTAGAATCTCTTCGGGTACTTGGGGCAGGGAACAGTGACGCTTGTCCACAAATTCCACCTGCCGATTGCAGCCCTTGAAGATTGGAATGCACTTGAACATGATTGATGAATTGTTGTTTTCGTTTAGTCGTTATTATTGTTGTTGTTGTAGTTGTTGGTATAGTTGATGACGTTTGTCGTAGTCGCTTCTTGTTTTATATCGGTTCGAGCGCGCATCGGTTGTGGTTCTTGTTGTTGTTGCTGCTGCTATCGTCGATGTGGTCTATGCGTAGGTCAAGCAACAACAACAAAATCGTCACGTTCGATTTGCGGCATCTGTTGCAAGCAGGCGAACGCACACACGCACAAACACACGCGAACGCACACACACACGCACAGGCGGGCCTTTTAGCCGCCCTAGGTTGGTTTTGTTTTTCCTTTTTTCTTTGCTTTTCTTGCACTTTTTAGTATTCACTTTTTTTATTGCACACGTTTTGGCCACATTTTAAACCTATTTTCTGTAATACAAATTAATATTTTAAATACATATTATGGTTTAAGCGCGGCCATATAAATGAATCAAAAACGTTGCAAAAAGGAAGAGGCAGCACGACAGGAGCAGCTGCCTTGCCTTGCCTGGCCTTGCCTGCCGTTGTTGTTGCTCTACAGGGAGTTGTGAGCGAGCAGAGAAGAGAGATGTGTGTGTGTGTGTGTGTTGAGAGCGAATTGAATTCAAAGCGCGCGCACGCCGCTGTCAGCAAATAAACCGAAAAGGTTTGTCTTTACATGCCTTTGCCCCCATCTGCGTGTGTGTGAGTGCGTAATGGCGAAAATCATGAATTATAATAAATTCTAATTGGCACTTTTTCTGAACAAGCCGTCGCCTTTCGCACAACTAGTTTCTGTTGCTGTTGGCTACTTTTGCAAACATTTTATCACGTACCAATAGCAGCTTGAAAATTGCTCAGCGAGCTGGCGACGCGGCATTTGTTGCTTCTTCTCCCAACAACAGCAACAATGTGAGAAAAGCAGTCAGCAAGCTGCCCAACAACAATGACACTTGATTGCTGTTGCTGCTGCTGGTGGTGCCGCGCTTACGAATAGGCTTAGAATGAGGGAATGGCTAAAAGACAACAAAAGCATAGCAGAAAAACAACAGCGTGCCAATGCCAGCGCCAGCGCCAGCAGCGACGTCAACGTCAACGCACAATCGAAAACTCCACTTGAGTGTAGAAAATTAAACGAAATAAAAACGGAAAAAATTATTAACAGCGGACAGCGACGACACACCCAACAGACGAAAACAGCCAGAAAACAGCCACGCACTCAGCCACACTCTTATACACCAATAAACGCATGTCCCATTGAAATTCTTTTGTGCATTTTCATGCGGCAGCACAACAACAAAATGATGGTCATAGGCGGCGGCGTCCCCACACAACAATTACAACAACAGGCTGGAAGCAGCAGGCCTAGGCAAGGGCGTTTATTTTTCGCAGGCTCTAACACGTTTCGCGTTTATTGTGTTTTTAGGAACACTTACAATGCTTTGCATGCAGCACAATTGCAATAAATAAGTAAAATAACTGTACAAAATACAAAAAACAACGCGAACGCGCACGCACGCACACACTCAAACACACAGAGGCAGGCGGTCTACACAAAAAAGTGTAAAACAGCGCGTACCAACCTCTTGCAACGAAAAATTCTCGAAAACTGCGCCTCTCACCGACAGTGCGACCATATGCAAGAACTGCCAAAATAACTTCATTCAAAATATTCAAAATACCAAAAAATACTGTAATGTGCATTTATCGAATGTAATACTATCAATTGATTTATACTCTACGTCAGCGATACAAAATATAAGAAGCCTTCTAATCAGCACTTAATGAGGTAGTTTTTAGATGCAGAAACTCTTGTGAAGGCGCTACTGCCGATAAATACTGCTTCATTTCTTAGTATTTATTAATGCTGCCAGATCAGCAGAATATGAAACAGCTGTTTCTGCCCCTCAGATAATAACGTCTATTGGAATGCAGAGCAGAGAATTTGTAAATTTTTTAATCTCTCCCAATATTTGCTAAAAACTGTAAGCACATGCCAAAAAAGAACTAAATTTGAAGCACCTGCGGGTCAGAGACTTAAGCCGTTTACCCTTTTGATATTAAAATAAAAAAAATAAATCTTAGTTTTAGATCGAAATTTGTGGGTTACGGAAGCTATGTATATATTTTACAAGTGACTGCTAAGGAGGCCGGACTTCAGGAGACCTTCCGGTCACGTTTTGGTATCAGGACTATTTTATTAGACACTTTTAACTTTCAAGTAAAAACTGGTGGCAATGGGGTATTAAATCTGTTGACTATTTTATAAAATCAAATTAGTTTTATTATTTAACAATCCTGAATAATTTTGAATATACTGAATTTTACTGGAACGTTACCTATAAATTGACGGCACAGGTCAGTTACAAATGTCTAAGAAATGTTAAACAAATACAAATATTTACATATAAACCAATAGGGCTAGCTTAATATGAATATATAGTTTATAAACTTTCTGAGATCCCTGCGTTTATACAGACATTCGAACAAACTGCCACCATCTCCCATATCCCTCGGTTTGGCGGACAACAATCAAACAAGCCCTCATTTGTTTTAAATAATGTTTTGATTACTTATACAGGCAGCATTGGAGCTCCTATTAGAAACTAGGATCAGTCTGATATGTCTGTCTTTTCTTTTCAGAATGGCCCCTGAGAGGCATTTATTGTGCAACAGATGTCGTTTCTTTTTGGCGAACAAGTAAAAGCTTAACCCAAGCTGACTTAGATATACGTGTAATATGAAATCCTCGTGCTGTGTATGTATCTTTCGTTCAAAGCAGGAAGGCCTCAAAATTGCAAGGTGAAGGTGGGAGATAAACAATGTTCTTATCCTGAACCATTTGTTTCCTCTCCGTGTTAGCCGAATTTTCGACAGCTAGCATTTCTGAGCCAAAACAACCGTTGTTTAGGTCAACCTTGCTTTTCAGTGATTAGTTATCCAATTAAATGAATCTATCTGAACCAATGAAGCAATGAACTGTGACCACCTCCCTGGATACTGGAAAGAAAGCATATAGAATTGTTTTTTCACATTTGATAATATGTATTTTTATTGTAATTTTGTATGCTCTTTTTTCTTTGTATAATTATTGCAGGTGTACTGTATAGTACTCTCTCCTCTACACACCTTGTTGACATTGGTGAGCTCTCTGGTTTCATCTGCCAGTTGGTCAACCATGGCCTGTCATTAATGCCTGCTTTTTTAGTAAGTATAGTATTTGATATATGCGCTCAAACAGACATACATTTAGACATATATTTATACTATTTTTAACTAAAACTAATCTGCCAAAATGGGCATATTGATCAAGGATCATAAGGTTCATACACCGAATATATATGTATATGTAAAGTACATATTTGTTTGTATACAAGTTTGTATAAGTGCATATATGCAGGTATAGACAATACATACAGATACATGCACGAACATACATTTTTGTTTTGCTTAACTCGATTATTTTGATATATATAGTATGATATAAATTTATTGGCTTACTTCATATACACATGAACATAATGCTTAATATCAGAATATCGCGAAACCAAATCGATCAATTTAAACAATGTTTTGCAAGAAGTAGAACTTGCGCTTTCTATGCTGAGTGTATTGGGTTTAGTAATTTAACTTAAATTTACAAAATTTGACTAGTTGGATTTTCTTTACACATTTTTAAGGTTCATCTTTTCCTTATTTATTATTATTATTATTTTTTGTTTTGTTTTTGTTGGTAGTTATTAGAGTTTCTCCCTAACAAGTGGGCTATAAATTAATTAACATTAAACACATCGACATTGGGCGACATTTTGAATAATTGTTAGTTATAGAACTTGTAATGAAATCCGAAAGATAGGCGTGCTTGTGATATTTATGAGTTGAGTATTTTGGATGTTAGATTTCATTTCTTAATCGTAGACCTAGCGACGTACATAAATCAACATATAAATATAATACATTATACAACGTAAGTTAATGTTTAAACAATAAAAGTAATTGTAAGACAAAACGCATTACAATTATTATTTACAAAACCATCTGTTTGTTTTCTCAAGCTCATTGTGGTCCATTGTGAGGTGGTTTGTGGATTCGTTGGGGTGTTCCTTTTTTGTGGTGGCTCTTGTTTTATAAATGCGTTTATCAATTTGCGACACAGGTTGCGGGTAAAGAACAAACGAACAAACGACAAACAAACGACGAACACCTCTAATATGTAATTGCAGACATATAACATTTAATATTTTTATGGTGAGACCATCCTCTTAGACCTTGCTCTCCGGACCCTCAGCCACGTGTTTGAACGCCAAACGTATGCGCGACAAATAGTGCGAGCATATGTGTCCGTAGTTCTTGTTATACCATTCCGGAGTTTTGCCCCTGCAGGTATGCAATAAAAATTAATACAAAACGCTATGAGATTGACTTCAATTTCGCACTCACTTGATATCCACGCGCGCTAAGTGCATGACCCGTGAACGACCGCTGCCACAGGGCTCGATCAGGTAGCGCGAGGCCAGCACCACACCCCGAACAGCTCCAAAGAGTGGCTTCGCCTTGGCATGATCAATTGATGTTTCCACAATGACGCAGGCGCCGCGTGGCAAGTCCGTTTGCCAAGAGCTGCAAGGGATCAAGTAATTACGTTAACAATTGCGATTCACTATCGAGGCATTTCTACTTACCGCAATACGCAGAAGTCCGTCGTTAGCTGGCCATCAAGGGCGTACTGATAGATTTCGGTACGATCGTCCAGTTTCTTCACCGTCTGGCACTGCAGCAGATTTACATCCCACGAAGCGCGCTGCTTAATTATATAATCCAGTACCTCCCTAGGCGGTCCCTCGATCTCCGTGGAGCAGCGCCATAGTCGCAGCGGATGGCCATCGCCCACCTTCTTGTAGGCAATGTCCACGTTGCTGTCCGTGAGGCAAGTGATGGTGAACCAACCTCTCGTTCTGCAAGAAATTTTGATTTTTAATGAAGGACGAATACCCAATAACACAGTCGCGATTCAAAAACTATTCCCCCCCCCCTCTCTAGAGATAAATTTGTTTACATTTGTGCATAAATGCTGCTCTACTGGTTTTAAATTATTATGGAATTACTAATACTACAGCTATAGTACATACTCGGAAGTATTCTTAGGAAATATCTTCAAATGTTTCAATTATTATTTATTATTATATATATTATTATTATAAATTATTTTGAATTGAATCGAAAACGCAGTTTTGGAATAAAATCTGATCTAAGCAGCGACGTTTAGTGCGAAGGTTCAAGGCCCTCCATGCAACTATCATCTCCGTAAAGAACACGACTCATGGGGGATTTAATTAATTCGAACTATGCTGGTTTCTCTGAAATATTTTAGATTTATAGTCTTTAGTAGCTGGTACTTACTTCTCGCGGCCCTCCTTGATGGTGGCACTGGTGCATTCATAGAGATACCCACGCCAGTTGTGGAACTGAAAGCCCTCACCCAGCATTTCTAGTGGCACTGGTTTCGACTCCTCCATGTAGCCGAAGTTGCATTTTCCCAGCTTTTCCTTGGCGGCAGTGTATATAGGTTTGTAGTGCTCGATCATGAAGGAGAGGCATTCGTGCGAAGCCTTGGCCTCGGCTAGTTCCTTCATGTCTGGCATGCCCGAGCCCTTGCCCTTACGACGCGGTGAGGCGGACACGGACGCCGTTCCCGTGGAAATCGAGGAATGGAAAATTGATTGGGCGAGACATACGCCCAAGTTGTTGCTGGTCATTTGATTTTGCTGTGAATTGGCCGCCACAATGGTGAGGAATTCGAGCAGAACATACAGGATCTCGCGATTCTCATCGGGCAACAGCAGCACAGCGCACTGTACGGCATCAATGCGAACTTCCGGTGGAAGATCTGTGGGGCAGAGAAGATGAGAGTAGAATATGAGAGTACTATTGTAATAAGAAATCTTTACACTTTCACTCGCAATTCATTTTATATTTCTTTGATATCCGGCTACTTACGCTGAAATATAGCTACAAAGGTTTCGGACATCTTGGTGGTCAGCAGGGATTCGGGAAGCTCGCGGAAATACTGCTTCAGCATGTCGGCCACATCGTAGGCCTGCTGCGTATCGAACACGTCCATGCACTCTGCCGTAGATTCGGTGCTCTCGATGATCTCCCGCAGCTTCATGATGCGTGACTTGCCACCACTCTTGCGGAAGATGCCCACCTGGTCCAGAGCATTTAGTTGAAGCCAGCGCAGAGCGGCGCGTACCGCAATCGGCAGTGTCTGCCCGGTGCGCTGTAGCACGAGCAGCAGTGGAACGCCGAATACCTTCTTGTCCTTGTAGTCGGGCATCTTGATCTTCTTAATAAACTTGGGCAGCTCCCAGTTCCAGCCGGATCGATGGGTCGGGCAGTACCGCTCCATATATCCGGTAAGAGTGACAAGCGCCAGCTTGCGTATGATTTGCAGCTGTCCTGCGGACATGGCAGCAAAGGGTATGCCGACATCCTGTTCCTGTATATTTGGCTCAATCTTTTGGGAGAAGCACTTCCGGAAAATCATGTTGGGTCGCTCCTCCATTTGGAAGCTGTGCCAGCGCACAACTGGCGTTCGTTTGCTGCCACTGCCACCCTCTTCCTCGTTTTTAGGCTCCTTGCGGGTAGTGCTGCGCGAGCGGAAGGACGAAGATCGGAAGCCTTCACGCTTCTTCGGGTCCTTGCCCAAGTTAAGCGAGCCGCCACGCGTTAGTTTTTTGATTTTGACCTCGGTGGTGTTGCTGTTGGCATCCTTGATTAGCAGCTTGCGTCCCTGATGGCACTCCGAGTCTGAGTGGGCGCCTATGTCGTCTACTTTGCCCGAGCGCTGCAGAAAGCGACGTGCCTTCGAGGGCTTGCGCAGCGATAACTTACCGCCAGTCGAAGACTCTTGACTGTCGCTGTAGTAGGACGAGGAGTCGTCCGACTTGCCCTCCTTCAGGTGAGGCATGGGGCTAGAGAAGAAGTGCAGGGGACTGGTTCGCATGGAGCGCGGTGTGGTGGGCGTGCGCTTGGGACTGGATCGGTTTGGACTCAGGAAATTTTCACTGTGCGAGGGTACCTTCAGTTCGTTACCGAAGAACGGCACCTTGGGGAATGTGTGCATGGGACTAACCGCCGACGGAGAGGGTGGTGTGGAGTAAACGGCATCCGGCTTCCGCATGCTGCTGCGCTGACCCAGCTGCATGAAGTCCAACACTTGAGGGCCACTTATAATCACGTTCTCGCGATTCTGTCGCTTGCGGCGACGCGACTTGATGGACTCGACGCGCCGCAACAATGCTTTGGCCCCGTCCTTGATGCGCTCGCTACCTGTGCGACGAAGGCGGGCGGCGGCACCATCGACGGACTCATTCAACGAGGTGTCTGTGGCGTCGCCCTTGCTGGCGCCTGGTATCATGAGCGTAATGCCTGCGCCCGATATATCGTAGGCATCGTCCTCGAAGCGATCCGGGCTGGACTCCTTAGAGGAGCTCTCTGTCTTCTCCACATTCAGTTTTCCCGGTGGCGGCAACTCCAGGCCCATTTCGCCTATGCGGGACCAGCGCCTGATGTGTGGTTGGAATGTCCAGTTCTCGCTGAGCGCAAAGTTTTCATCGTCCGACTCTTCCTTTTGCTGCAATTAAGATCCTCACATTAACGCCTCTTACCAAAAATGAAGCTCGATCCCTCATCTCTTACCTGCGGCGTTTGCGGCTTGTGCGACTGGTCTAGTCGCATATTGGCGCAACGATTCAGCACGCACAGGCGACGATAGAGTGACTGTAGCTGATCGTTCTCGAGATTGGTGTGATCTTTGGCTACGTTGGTTAGATCGATGGGGAATTGGTGATCTGCAATTAGAGAAGGATTGACCAAATTTTTAGCGACTTCAGCTCTTTAGGAGTGCATGCAACCGCTCGCGTCAACGGCGCGTGAAATTCTAAATGAAATACATTTTTTTCGGCCGCCCAAACCAGAAAATCCAATTCCATTGCAATCGCCTATAGCGTCTGTCTCAGTCCCAGCCAAGCGGCAAGTGAGGCGCCTATTAAATTGTAATAAGCAAAAACAACAACGATGCGGAAAACGATAAATATATGGGCGAGTAGTATACATACAAGTATGTATGTATATGAGTATGCCTGTATATAAGTATGTGTGCACATTTGTCTACGCAATATATTGCAGCAAAAAAGTCACGCAGCAAAATTTTCACAGCGTTTTTCCACACATCAGTATCCGCGCACAGTTCGCACGTAGGAAATCAAGTTCTTAGCAGCCTGCGACGACGACCAAGACGCCGACGACCACCACATAAAACCGATACAGATACGTAGATACAGATACATATGTCGTGTGTCGCGACTGAGCGGCTCATTGCCAGTCTGTGGATTCACTTGCAACTGCAACTGAACAATTACTGAGTAGGATGTCTGGCCGAAGGAAGTGGTCGAGAAAAGCTATCCTGTGTGTGTGTGTGTGTCTATGTCTTGCATTGGTTTCGCATTGTTTGATAAAAAAAATGTTGTGCACACATTTTCCCCCCATCAGCCGCCAATGAAGCCATTCACGGTTTGTTGAACTTCTGCTCAAGACATTCGCCGTCGGCGTCCCTTTCCCAGCAGCAAGCCGTCTCGTTTCACTCGCCAAGCTTTTTATAGTTTTGTTTACGCTACTGCCCGGTTATTTATAATTTCATTTAAATGTTTTACTAAATGTTGTGTGTTTAGTTTCAAATCCCATGTACTTTGATGCCGCGATATAAACAATTCAAAAAGGAAAAGGCCACAAATTTGAGACCCAATTTTGAGTGTGCCACTTAATCGATCTGTGGTGCTTGGAAGCTACCGTATTTTCTTCTCTACTCGTATAATCAAAGTTGACGTCAGAAATTCTTTGGCTGTTTGACTTTTACAGTAATTTACAAGGCAGCACAGCACAGCGCAGCGCATTCAACTACAAGTATTTGGGTCAATTGTATGATTAATTCTGCCGAAATAGAAAATGAAATATAGTTTAATTGCGGTATGTGGACGGTGCAAGACGGAGTACACAAAATTCGCCAAGTTCACTCAAATCTTGCTAATTAACAATTTCTCTAGCACATCTAAGCATAGCTTCATCCAAAAAATTTAACTTAAGTTTGCTTTTAAAAAACTCCCCAGTTTTGTTGAATTATTCTAATGCCATTAAACGCTTAGTGCGTCAGTTGAAATCAAATATCTGATGTTTACAATTATATCCAATATCCTATGACTGACTGGTTGTTGTGCTGCTGTACAATATATGCCGGTTACTCTCTGGAAACTCCTGGTTTTATACAAGCAAATAGATGCTTTGGAGTGCTTCCCCATTTATCAGTATAGCTCGGACTGTATTGCCCCCACTGAAGGTTTCCTCAAGCTCACTTTAAAAAGTAGTATTTAATTAAATTTAATTATTTCTCTAGATGCCGACAATTCTATAATATTCTGCTTACTGCGTACTTAAATACGAATACTAAGGGCGTAGGCAAAAAATTAAAATGTAATGCACGATGCATTAAAAAAATAACTTATGCATATGATCAATGAAAAAACTTCAACAAATCCAACTCAGTTTCATTCTAAGGCGAAATAGTGCGTTATAATAATGAACGTGTGATCGACTTTATATGGCAAAATTTTGTCTATGCCCCCCCCCCCCCTGCCTACGCCCTTTTGTTACTACTTTAAATAACGCAAAGGATTTCCTCCCTGCATACTTATTACCGAAAATTTTATTGCTTGTGCTATTGGCCCTTAATTTGTTAAACAATCCCGGTGTCCTCTTGGTTGTTTTTTAATGAACGTGCCACCTTCCGAGCCTCAACGCATAGAGGGGGCTTGCCAAAACAAACGAAACTCTGACTTTTTACACGCCACATCGACAGAACAAATTAGCAGCCGCTTACAGCTGCTACACCTTCTTTCATCATGTCGGGCTGCTGGCCAAATGACATTCGGCAGAATGCAACAAGGGCGAAAAGGTGAAAAACGCCCAAGGCAGCTTAAAGCCAAGCCCGAAGAAAGAGTTGGTGTGGCCGAAGACGAAAATCCTGTGCCACCAAGTCATCAAATCAAGCTTAAGCTGGAAATTTGAGAGCTGCCTTGCGGCCCTTGCTTACACGAAACCCATTAAAATAAGCATTTATCATGTGTGCTGTGTGCTGTGCCTTCCCGGCCAGAGATGGAGCTTGCAGCCGGAGACCGAACCTGGACGTGGGCCTCAGTCTGAGCCTGAGCTTGAGCCAAGCCCAAGCCCAAGCGCGAGCCCGAGCGCACGCGTACAAATTATGCTGCAAGTTACAAATTCGGTTCGTTTGCCTTTCTTGAATTTATGCAGCGCAGCGAGCATATTTCAAGGTCGGCGACATGCCGCCAGGAAGCGATCGACATCCACAGCAGCATCTTCGGCTCGCAGACAAGGGCATATGCATACAATACAATGGAAGGCATAAAGCGGGCATTAAGAGTCGTAGCCACGCCAAAATTGCTGGCTCTTAGTTTCAGATTCACTTTTGCTGATCACTCGCCGTCGCCGTCGCCGTCGCCTCATAACTCAAATTTAAAGTCAGGCAACTTTATCTGGCGGTAGGAAGTTTTGTGCCTCTTCTTGGACTTGTTATTTGAATTTGGGTGCGCGGCTTTTTTTGGGATGTGCGACCAATCCATGGGCTCATCACTCTGCACGGCCTTGGGGCGTTAAATGCGAAGCGACAAGCGAACCACAGAGATTCGGCGACAAAAACGGCAATGGATATACATATCGATATCCATACTCATGCTTGTATGTAGTAGATTATGTTTGTAATTTGATTTGTGGTCGGCGCGCCCGTTGCATAAGGAAATCAAAAATAAATTTAAAACATGCTGCAGGTTCAATGACTTCTTCCCACTAACTTTTTTTGGCCGAAACGCAGAGCATGTTGTTAAAATCGAAATCATTTTAATTTCATTTTTTATACGAAGGTGGTCCCCATAAATTCTTGGCCTGCGTGTCCTTTAGCCTTTTATTATATATTTTATCTGCTGCTGCCTGCGCTTCGCTCTCTTTCAAATTCGCTTAATTCATTGCCTCGCCAGGAAGGCACCCAAGTAGCAAGCCGCGATCCCAAGAAGCGCGGGTAGGCGTTCTTCTTGTGCTTACCCGCAGCTTTCGTTTTCGCTTCGAAGCATTTGCTGGCCTCTCAAATGGATTTCGGCAGGCTGGGACTTAATTGTTGTCGCACCGACACTGCCGGCGATGACGATGGCGATGGCGATGGCTTTGGATATTAATTTACTCAGACCCTATCATATCAGTCCAGGCCAATGGCTTCTTGCTTGCTTGCTTGCTGTGGTGTTGAAATCTTTAGACGAGTTCGCTGCTCAATTTTTGTGGGCCGTCATCTGGCAGTACTCGTGCAAGGTTCTGCCGCTGCCCATGACGTCTACAAGTATAGTTGTCACGTCATTGGTGCCTGTGCGTGCAGCAAATAGAATTTTATTGTGTTGTTGGTGCATTCAGAGGCACGCGAAAGGGAAAGTTTAATTGGATGCCGCGTCATTTCATCAAATTATTACAGTCCAGCGAAAATACAGCGAAATTATCAAACTAAATGGCACACCATTGTTGCTTGTAAAATAAGTACAGTTTGCGCTCGATAAATGTAACCCAATTGCCATAGAAGAATGTATATTTAGGGTAATTGAGTAATTGAAAACGAAACCCATTCCTCAATTAGTCCTAGTCTATCAAATATTTACTAATTTATCAAATAAATGCAAGCTTTAGTCTTCACTGTATTCAGTTATTGTTTATACTTTTATCAGAACCATCATTCAAATTTGGAATTTTAGTAAAATATGAAATTTCTCCTCGCTTAGAAATTATGTTGAAATTGTCGGCGATGGTGACTCCATCTTTGGAAAGGAAAGTTTAGTTGCATTGTTTAATTTAACCCTAAAATCAATTGAAGGTCCTATTGCTCTGATTTGCAAAATCATTGGCATGGGGTTAATAGTCCGATGTTCTTAGAAGGGCCACGCGCTAATCAAAATTGGCTCTATTTATTTTCTTAAAGTGCCTTACAATCGATTGTTCCTCTGCTTTAATAATTGAAAGCTATTTATTGCAGTTCCTTAGTGTCCCTAAGGGGAGCATCCTTAGCGAGCGCAGACTGTGACATTTAGTTTAAGTGCCGCCTTTCCTGCTGCGTCATTGCCGCTTGCTGCTGATGACGTCGAGGGGTCACATGAAACTGGCAATTACGTGCAACGGCAACATAAATGTCGCCTGCCACGCCCCATTCAGTGCGAAACAAAGGACATGTAAACACGCCAGAGTCAGAAGCTAGCGAACATCAAAGGGATAGGGGGCGGAGGGTGGGGTTTCCACTGTGACTTACCTTCGTACATTTGCGCATATTGCGGAAAACCTGCAGCCCGCAGCCATTTGCACGCTTCCACCGCCTCGATTTCTGCAAAGAGGAAGTATAAAATTAATATTGCGCATACGCCGGGTGGTGTGTCGTGCACTTTCGAAGCAATTAATAGTAATGTAATTTCGCTGACCAACGCGCACATTGAGTGCTTCTTTGACCGTCAAAAATGCCAAACTCAATTGAGCGCCAAATAATCAAAACTAAAAGCAATTAAGGGCTTGCTTTTAAGTATAAAGAGGGGGAGAAAAGTCAAAAATAAAAACAAAGTAAATGCAGTCTCCGCCGCTTATTTGATGGATTATGTTGTAAGCTGCCTAAATGCAGTCGACGCTTAAATCAAGCAGCAGTGGTCGGCGATGTGGTCGCGAATCGGCGCCACCTCCACCACCACCACCACCGCCACTGTGAGCCGCAAGCCACTGAGCAGCGGACAGAAGGTCTTTAAAATTGTGTTTTGAGTTTTGTGGCTGAGTGGTCGTCTGTTGATTTAACAACATATACGAGTAGTATCTGGGTTGGCTCTCTGCTCGGCTGAGATTGGGAGAGATTGTGATTGCCGCTGTTGAAGTGGCCGTCGTTGTTGACATGACATGAAAGTAAAAGTTTCTGAGAATTCGGCACAAGTTGCTTTTGTTTTGATGCGTAATTATTCGACCTCCGCGGGTAGGTTGGCATTCTTTAAAGTCAAAGGGAGGAGGTTATGTACAGCAGCCTGTGCTTGTTGAGGCAGGCAGGCAGGCGTGTCATTTCATGGAAAGGCAGAACACAAAACGAGGTACGAACACACTCGTTAAATATTTAACCGCCAGGCAAGCCAAATTTTTCATTTACAAACAAAATTCAGGTAAATTAAAATTCAAGTGCGATTTTTTATTAGATGGTTGCAAAAGTTTAATGTGGCTTACAAAAATGTTGCTCAAGCATTAAGCAAATAACAGGAAAAGCTTTGAACGCATATAACACAATTCAAGTTGTCTATAATTGTCATATTTTCTTTTTCTATCTATTTTCAGTTCAGTTGAAAAGTATCGTCTTTCTGTAAACCGCTAAATCTATTAATCGTTCAGAAAGAAAATATCTTGATTTTGTTTTGAGAATAAATGTTTGTGAAACAATAGGCAGATATATTTATTGTTTGTTTTTGTTATAGTGTTCAGAAAATAAAACCATTACCAATGACAGAGAGCTCCAAAATTCAACGATCTCTTTGCATGCAAAAGAGCTTTTAGACTGCCTTTTGGTTACCGATTCAACCTACTTTATGGACCCTGCTTGCTTTTATACCCAAAGCAACGATATTTCAAAAAAGAATAACAAAACAATAAATTATTTTATAAAACTTGATTGGCACAAATTTTATTTTAATGCCTGCAAATTAAATAATGAAAGAAAATTGCCCTGTTTTTTTTTTTGGCGCGTGTGTGTTGTGTGTTCTAATTTTTCATTCTACGAAGGCACCCATAGCGAGGGCATGAAAGTCATTGAACCGTAAATTACTAATTCATATCATTATTTCTGTGTTAGCTAAACAAAGGCACGTGCATATGTACCTAAATACATGTACACATCTGTGTATCTGTGTGTGTGTGTATTTGGAGCAACAAAAAATGGGCAGCTTTGATGACAATTTTATGGAAACGTACGCAATAATCCATAAACCAATTCAAAATCAAATCCAAAATTTCCAACAAATGCACAATGTTGAAAAAAGAAACAATTTATTCTGGGCCGATAGAGGAGAAAACGCTAGCGGGGCAGGCAACACCCAATGAATTCAAATGCTATTCCAGTTCGTCTGCCACAAGCAACACAAAGTCCAACATTCAATGAATAGGTCACGGGTTCTTGTTCTCCAGTTGGCTGTTGGTTCTAATATCTGCTTGTTCCAATTTAAGGCAAGCCGAAATAAATCCTGCCACAACATACACAATATATACATGCTGGTTATATATATGCTTAGTATGTATATATGTATACCTGTCTTCAATTTCAAATGCTAATCTGTGTACTGGCTGGCGTTAGCTCCTCACTCGCTTAGCCAACCAAAATCCATTTGAGCCTTAGTCGGGGAGTCAGCCAGCCAGGCAGGTTGCCAGTCAGGTTGCCAGGCAGGCAGCTCGAAGGAACGTCCTATCGATTTTTAATCAGCTTGTCTATTTGAAACATATTTCGCAGACACTCGACGCTACCAGCCACAACATGAAACAGTTTCCGGCTCCAGCTTTCTGTCGTTCTTAATGATCGGACATTATTATTAAATTTTGCAAGCGATTAACTTGCTCGATTCTGCCCGTCGGGGAGGAGGGCGCCTGTTGCGTGCATTGAGCCGGCAAGCAAGAGAGAGAGAGAGAGAAAGAGAGAGTATGTGCTATTTTAAAAACATTTACCAGAAACGCCTTTATGTTCTCCAAGCACCTTTCGGTGGATAATGCTTCGTGACACAGCTCTCACTTATTTTGTGTGTCAAGCCAGCCCCCTTGACTAATACGGACATTTGACCTGCTACGGCAGACAGTGGCAGTGTATGGCAGTAGTATGTGTTTGCAGTTTCGATTATCACTCAAATATTGACAGCTCTGCATGTTGACCTGCTCTACAAATAGTAGGCGTACCTCAACTTGGAAAATTTATGGTGCCAATTATGAAACTGCACCCATGTTTGTCTCTGAGCAGCTCTAAAAATAAAACCAGTTGCTAGGTAGCTAGGACAAGAGCACATTCATTATCCATGTCATCACACACGCACACACACACACAAACACACACACACACACACACACACACACTCAAACACACACATAGCGCTGTAACCCACAACTTCGTGAAATGTCACTTGAGCCTTATTAAAATTGCGCATACGGCTCGTTGTTTGCAGCTCATCCAAAAGCCATTTAAAGTGCCGAACCGCACTGGCATTACACGGCATCTACATACTATATGTGTGAGTGCGTGCGTCTGTATGTGTGTGGTGTAGGCGTGTTGTCTTTACATTGCGCAACGCTTATTGCTTATCGTATGGCAAATGTTTGCTGTGACCAAAGGTCCAAGGACTCGGACCAGAGCTTGTTGATTGTCCCTCCCCAATGCAATTATTGTCATTCTGGTCGTGGCTCGTGCGCCTCTTAAAAACATGTTAAAGCAAGCGATGCGTACGCTCTTGTGTTTCGTTTTCATGTACAACACGCGCAATCGGGCGAATATTATTCTTTGCTTTTGGCCTGGCAACGGCCGAAAAAAAAACAAACGGCCGTTTGGCTTTGTGTGGGTTTTCGCTGTGTCCCTAATTAGACACATAAAACCAAACCAGGATATGCAGCGGTGATAAAATTATTCCTTTTACAGCACCCCTTCCGCTCTAAAGCTGTAAAGAATGACGTCCGGAAACAAGCTACAGATTATTGGAATGTATTTTGTCCACAAAAATTGTTGGGAAAAAAATGACAGGGACTAGTCACTTGTGAGTACTTTTCAAAGCATAGTTAGTGTCTGTTCCCGTTTTCTGCTCAAAATAATATTTATTGGCATCAGATTGTATTGAAACTTATATAATATTGCTATTTTGGCCAAACAATATCAAATGCATATCATTCATAGCTTAAATTTCAATTCTCAAAGATATGGTATTGAAGGTCGGAAGAGGTACCGAAGAAATAAACAGAAGCTTGCACTTGTTGGTGATTAAAGAGATTGCACAACCACCTTTAAATTCCCTTTGCTCGAAACAGAAATACCAACGGACGGATGGAGAGTCATAGCTGATGAGGCGATTTCCAGTACGGTTTTCTGGATTACCCACAGCGTCCTTAGCAATTAACTCTTACTTTTTTTTTAGAAATGCTATTCTTTTTATTTCATTTTTCTGCCACAAACTTCACTCGAAAGCTGTCTCTGTTGTTGGACCAGTAATCTACACTGCAATTTCTGGAATTTATTATTTAACTATAAATTTACGCACTTAAGCCTGCAGTGCTCTTGACTTTACGTAAGCAATGAGCTGGCGTTAGGTGTCAATGGAGGCAAAGTTCCTAATACAATTGTCTCGGCCCAAGTGGTTCGTTGCCTGGCTGTTTGAATGCTTGAATGCCTCACTGTCTTGTTGAATGCCTGAGTCGGGAAGACTGTGTCAGTGACACGCTTTGTGCTTGTGCTCTGAAATGTAAGGCGAATTCAGCCTCACACACACACACATACACACCCACAACCACACCCACACACAACCAGAACCGCATGGCAGAGTATGCAAATGACAAGATGCACATTCCTATAAGTAAAAAGTACAAACACACACACGCTCACGAGCGCGTGTCTAAAAACTTATGTAAAGGTCTTGACAAACTTATGTTTTATAATTCGCCATACATTGAAGCTTCCCCACATGTGTGTGTGGGTGTTTGTGTGTGTGGGTGTGGCACCCACCCAACAGGTGGTATGCGTATAGTCAGCTCCAAGTTCCTGCTTTCAAATAATTTCGTTGAAAAGTTAAAGGCATGAGTTCGTTAACAAATATAAAAATAAGAGCATGCCAAGCTTTAATTAACAATTTGTGTAGCAACATGTGCATTGGAAAAACATTTTATCCCTGTCCACTCGCATTATATTAAAATTTCATTACTGTACAATCCGATTATGTTTGGCAATGCAAATTGGTAGCTAAATTCATTAAAACTCTTGTCCTCAATCGTGGCCTGCAGTTGCTTTTCATATTGTTGTTGTTTTGGTGTGGTATTGGGAGTGGTGTGTGGTGATCCTACGTCGATGAAATTAAATTGATTTACAATGTCAAACATTTCTGTATTCCACCAACGCGCCTATGTAAATATTGATTTAAATTTAACTCATGTGTGAATGCGGATTTGAATGATTTATTAAATTCAGTTAAGCTTCAGATTAGATAGTGATATAAGTATGATTAACAAATTTAGATTAACAACAAATGACCTATGACCGATATAGTGCACCGCTTTATAGCAAGATTGTGGTTCAAAATTCATGGAATTCAGAAGATGCTAATCATACAAGTACTTGTATGTGCACCT